TCACTCATAATTTAAAAACACAGTTTTGTTATGTTGTTTGGTTTCACATACTCTGAAAACACATTTTAAATGAAATGTATTTCTACTTGTCAAATTGACTAAGATTTTTTCATTTATATACAGTTAAATATGTGTTTTTTATTATAAATGTCCAAGATTGAGAAGGAACAAAAAAGTTCTCCCATATATTATTATTGGGAGTTTAACTTTTATAGCTACATTTGTAAAAGCTTTGTAGAAGGCAATATGTATTATAACCTTTTAAGTGCTCATAATCTTTAATCCTCTAACTATAGAAATTAATCTTAAGAATGATTATGGTTCAAAATTACATATTAGAGTGCTTATCACTGTATAAGTTATAAAGTTACAGGTCAAAAATTTTTGCAAGAAACAAAATATCTAAATATTTAAATTTATCATATTGTCTTAATCCATTCAGGCTGCTGTTACTAAGTGACATAGACTGGATAATTTAGAAACAATAGAAGTTTACTGCTCATATTTCTGGGAGCTGGAGCATTCAAGATCAAAATACTAACAGACTAGGTGCCAGGCAAAAGCTTGGTCCTCTGCAGATGATACTTCTTATATTGCCTTGTGTGGTAGAAAGTTGAAGTCTGCCTCATATTTCGCTTATGAGGACACCAATCCTGTTCAAACCTCCTAAAGATTTCAGGTCTTTATACCACTGTTTTGGAAATTAAGCTTCAACACATGAATTTAGAGAAGGGGAAGAGAAACATTCAGAACACAACGTGTACCCAGAACTGAAGTGCTGGGCAGCTATAATAAATCACACTGTAGTACACATTTAGTAATATGAGGAGGACATCCTATAATGCATGTGTGAAATGAGGCAACTCACAAAATTTGGAGCACGTTATTTTCTCTGGGAGACAAGCATGTGAGCAAATGATACCAAGGACAGAGTTATTATCTCATCAAATCTTCCCTTCAGCAGTATCCTGCTCTGCACAGTTGCTCAGTTATCAATGGATTAGACCACAATGCCTGCTTGGAGGATTGTGATTTGATGTTGCATCAGTATCTTTCTGGAAAGTGTTTTTCATTTTCCTCCCATTTTACCTTTTTAAGCCTTAAGGGAATAAGTTGAAAAGCCAGGTTTTTTTGGTGGCTGCTAACATTAAGCCCTCTACTCTGTTGTTTGGAAATCATAAATCCCAGACAACAGCTCCTCATTCCATTGTCTATTGGTTTTTGAAGAGAATGACTGACAGGTCCTTTCTATTTTTTTTAACCCCAAAGTCTCTTATGCCTGCTGACTTTCTCACCAGGCACTCAGAGTCCTGCCAATGAAGGCAAAGAGTGTGTGCCGATTGTCACCCTGCCTCCAAGCAGACTGGTGCTTCCTGAACACACACACACACACACACAACTATGATTCAGCTGCTAATTCACCTTCCTACTTTTGTTTACTCATCTGAATGCTGCTTATCCTGCAAATTTTAAGTTAAGCAATATCACCCATGAGCCTTCTAGAACCTTCCTTTCTAAAGATCTCTCAGATTCCATCACACCCGAAATCTACAGAACAGCTCCCTTAGATCCAGGGACATGGGGTCTTTCCTCGGGTTTCAGTCTTCATGGAGTTCAGCTCTGACTCTTTTTGACCGTGGCCGCCTTCCCCTAGGTCCTTGAGACTAAAGCAATGTGCCTATTTCCAGCCGGTACTCATTCATTCTCTCTCTCTCTCTCTCTTTCTCTCATTTATGCCATGCTTTAGGTCCCAGAATCTCCTACCCCAAATATCTTTTATGGCCCGCAGGCCTTTTATCTGGCTCACCTTCTCTGGATAGACAGGAGCATAACAGCGTGTACCCCAAGGCCCAAAGCCAAGAAGCCTCTCTATGGAGTGTTCGCACACATTTACATGGCACCTCACATGTGTATTGTTAGCTTTTCCTTTGCTGAGACTCAATCTCCACCACAATTTAAGAGAGGAGAGGTTTATTTTGGCTAATGGTTCCAGAGGTTTTAATCAGGGTCAGCTCATTTCAAGGCAGTAACATCATGGTGGGAAGGCATAGTAGAGCAAATCTGAGCACTTTGTAGCAGCCAGAAAGCAGAGAGACAGGGAAAGAGCCAGAGAGAAAAGGGCCAGGGACCAGATATAATGCCCAAGGTCACGCTTCGGTACCCACCCAGACATACCCATAAGTGTATATTACTAATCCTCTAGATGTCTCCTCCAGCATCACAATGTGGGAAAAGCAGAGAAGGGGGAGGAACAGTTCTCCCGGCATCCTACATTGGATCATTTGATTTCACCATTGGGCCCAAGTGTATTGTTCTCAGGTCATATGGACTCTCTCCAGCTGAATGCACCAGTGACCACGGACTACCAGAGTTAGGAATATATTATAGGTTAGCACATAAAAAGAGCAGAGAGGGAAAGGGTTAATAAGACTGGCCTTAAAAAGAGTTACTCAGCATTATGAGCTACATGCTTGAGTGAGATAATTTCACTCAACCTACTGACAACCATGTGGAATTTTATTATCTCCTTAAAATTAGGAAACCAAGGCTCATAAAGATCTCGTGCTGTGGTGTAGCAGGAGTGTGAGGACAGCACCTTAATGATCTCAGAGTCTGCTCGATCTTCATGGTAGCTGTCCACCTGTCTGACTCAGCCACCTCCTAGGACATCCATGTCACGTAGGCTTTAATGAGGAACCAAGCCAGGAAAAGTGGTGTGTACTTGTAAGCTTAGCACTCTGGGAGACTGAGGCAGGAGGAGCACAAGTTCAACTCCAGGATGGGCAACTTAGCAAGACTTTTGACTCATAATAAAAAGGGGGGTGTTGGGGATGTAGTACAGTATGAAGGGTGCAACCCCCCAGTACCAGAAAGAAAGAAAGAAAGAAAGAAAGAAAGAAAGAAAGAAAGAAAGAAAGAAAGAAAGAAAGAAAGAAAGAAGGAAGGAAGAGAAGGGAGCAATCAGAGGATGGACAATTTCCTGTGTGTTGATGGTTAGTGACTGAAATATTTGTTTCTAAAAACTTAGTTTTGGGGGCTGGGGATTTAGCTCAGCAGCATAAGCGCCTGCCTTGCAAGCAGGCAGTCGTGGGTTCGATCCCTGGTACCGATAAAAAGGAAAAAGACAAAAAAAAAAAAAAAAAAAAAAAAAAAAATTTAAAAACTTAGTTTTGCAACTGACCAGGGAAGGGATTTGAAAGAGCTATATTTGGTAACACAAAGCTTTTCTGGTCTAGGCATCAGCTAGTTAGTCACTGAGGGCAGGGTAAATCCCCATGTGCTAAGGTTGAGAGATGGAGAACTCCAGAGACTGCTGTAGATTTCAACCTTGCAAAGCTGAGCGATTTCCAGTGTTGGGTTTTTTTTTTCAGATAACAGGCCTTCCCTTATCTACCGTGGAACAGAACTTAATAGACAATTGACATTCATAGCCTGAGGTTAGTAACTATGAAACGAAGCAATAGACATTCAGGGGAAGTTGCGCATAGACTCTGTGAGACAGGAACTTGGCAGGTATTCAGGAATGAGGAGTTAGAGTCCCCGGGAACTGTAGAAGAGCCTGCTCTTCCTAAGGGGACTGAATCCCGAAGGGAGAGGTGACAGTCATCACAGCAAGAGCTGGAAATGATCGGGTTTCTTTTCTGCCCACCCATGTGCTTCTTTAGAAGCCTAAAATGCATTTAACCGAAGAACAAGCCACATGTGCACATGTTTTTAAAATAAAATTCAAGTCAACTGAAATATAAAAGGTGTGGTACTTACCATCTCTACCATTGGGTGGGGAGATCTTGTATACAAAAGAAAAGGAAATCTACATATTCAATTGTCAGCTTTTCAGGGTTCCTTGAGCTTCTTGGGAACCCTCCTCCAAACACTGTGACATGCATTTGCTCTAAAGGAAACTTCAAGCACTGCGGGATTTAGAAAAGTGGTAACCTTAACTTGTGTTCAGAGAGGACTTTAAGTTCATACACACCATTGTGCAAAATTATCTGTCGCTAGAATAAGAAAATATGCTTAATTTGACTCGAAAAAGATGAAAGACATGAGCCCCAGGCAGGAGGGTCACTGTGAGTTCAAGGACAGCCTGGGCTACATAGTGAGATCCTACCTCAAAAAAAAGAAAAGAAAAGAAAAGAAAAGAAAAGAAAAGAAAAGAAAAGAAAAGAAAAGAAAAGAAAAGAAAAGAAAAGAAAAGAAAAAGAAAGAAAGAAAAAGAAAAAGAAAAGAAAGATGATTTAAGAGGTGGAAGCTCGAATGGGACAGTTTCTTGCTTTTCCTAATATTTTGAAATACATATAGGGTTATTCAGTTATAAAGTAAACAGAGCAAGGAATTCACCAGAAAAAAGTAAACACAACTGTGCTGTCTTCCATGCTCCAGTTCCATGCTGAATCAGAATTAGAGAAGTAATAGCACTTCAATAAAACATCTTCCTATGAAAATTGGAAAAAATGTACAGCCACTTAAAAACACCAGGTCACGTGAGAAACAGCACAGAGCACGCAATGCCTTAAAAATCCATTGTCTAAAAATCTGTAAAAGGGATCACTTTAGATATACTCACTTCATCTCTCTGGAAATAGTTTTATTATTATAATCAAGTTTACTGCATTTTATCTGATTTTACCCGTTTTTAAAACACTTGCGGATCTTACAATTTATCTGCATATTCGGCAGAACAAGGTGCTCTCTGATTTTAACAAACCTTGGCCACGTGTTAACTAGCTAAGCTGTCCAAAGTAACTTTTATCCAGGATTTCTGTGAACACCACACGTGCACAGTAACATCTGGCAAATGTGCCCAGCTAATTTTTTAAATCAATACATTAAAATTACTTGCTACAAATTACACAAACACATACACTTTTAAAAAAAGAAAAAACAGTAAAACCCAACTCACTCTCCAGGCGCCACTGCAGAGGCGGTGCGCTCTCTGCCCGTAGCCGCGGAGCAATACGGTAACAGCAGGAGATTACGGTACGCGCTGGGCTCCTGCCTGTGTGACGTCAGCGAGAGCTGCAAAGTTCCTAGCCTCTCTTTTCTGGTGTCGAAGAGCTGAATATTAAAAGGATAATAGTGGAGTTACTGGTTGGTTGTATTTTTTTTTTTCTATTTTTCACTCTTCATTTCGAGATGCCCAGGTAAAGCATTGCAGTCCGGAGTTTGGAGGTGGCATCCGCGGTGGCGGGGCGGTGAGTCAGCGGGTGCTGGGGACGCGAATCCGGCTCCAAGGAATCCGGAGAGGCGTCCCCACTCCGCCCCCTCCGCCCACCTAGGAGACCCGGCCAGGCCGGCGGCTGCAGGACCCAGGCCGGCGAGCCTACCCCACGGCCGCGCTGCAGGTGAGTGAGGGCGCGGGGCGCGGGGCGCAGACACCGCAGGGCCCGGCACGGAGCGGGCGCCCCTCGCCGGGGGTCCAGCCAGGTCCCAGCCCCGCTCTCTCCGTGCGTCGCCCGCCTTTTGGCCCGGTTCTCCCCAGTAACCCCAGCCTACGCCCGTTTCCCTCCTCTATTCTGGGAAGTTGCCTTCTAGTTAACAAGTGTCTTTTAACCCTCTGTGTTTCGCTCCAGAGTAGCAGGAACGGTTTTTGCGAGTGGCATTTGTTTACTATCACCTGTATCGGCTTCGGCGTGGCGTTTTTCACCGTAGCCTTTGGCCGGGATTCCTGCCTCGGGGCCCAACCCGGGAGGCCAGGTGACCACGACCTCACGCCCGCACACTCGTTCCGCGCTTCCCTAGGTCCCTCTGCAGCTGTGGAAACGCAGGTTTCTGCCGCAGATCATGGCCCCCAGCCCAGAGAATCCGAACCGTCCCTGTCCCCTACAGCGCGGGCTTGATTTTTATGCCCACAGAATCCGCAGTGACCACCACTTGCAGAGCCCCTGGGGCAGAGCTGCGCATTCGCCGCCTGACTCCCTGGGACCCCGGTTGTGGCTCGCTACCCTGTGGCGTGGCAACCAGATCTCGACCGAGCTGGCTCGCGTTCAGCCCTCAGTGTCCTCTCTGTTTTGCCGAGGACCTGGCTCTCGGCCCCCGGCTGGCGGACAGACCCGCGCGCTCCGCACCAGAGTGCAAATTGCGCGTCGCGAGCGTGCGCGTGGCGCGGTCCCTGCGGCTCCCGGGTCGCCGAGGTTCCCTCTCCCAGGCTGCCCCTTCCAGGTGACAGCTACGCAACCTGTTCGGAGGACAGCCCGGTAGATCACCGGATTCCTCCGATCAGCCACAATTGCGCCGCGCGCGCGGGCTTTGAAATTTTATGGTTGCTGGACTGGCGTTCTCACCTCGGCCTCCCGGAGTCAGGGCTTAGGTTTTGATGGCTTTAGGGGCTTGGGGTTGGAAGCAGTGATTTTTTTTTTTTTTTCTGGTTTATTTTTGTGCTTAGATTTTGAACTTGGCCAGAGGCGGCGAGGCGAAGTCGCGGACTGCAAGACAGATTCGCCCGGTGCGCGGGCCCCTCCCCCCACCCCGCCTCTCACAGCCGCACACACGCGTCTCCTTCCTGTGAGGGGAGGGGGGTTTGCGGGGGAACACAGCTGCTCATAGACCGCAGAGTGGACGGGTTCCCAGCTGGAGTCTGCAGCAGGTCGGGCTGGGCATGGCCTCGCTCCAGGGGCGCCTGGCTCATGGTCCACCTTTCTCTTTCAGGACCGTCGCTGGACCCCTGTCACCCTGCCAGTGCGCCTAGAACCCGGAATAGCAGGCGGCCAGGCTGGGGGAGGCCAGCCGTCGGGGACTGCGGGCCCGCAGAAGCGCCGGATCCCGGCGGTGCCTCCTTTTGAGCTTGGACCGCTGATCCGTAGTTGACTGTGATTTGGGGAGGATTGGCCCTGGAATTTTCAGTTCCAAATTATGTCCAGAATGTTCAGTCTTCTCCCAACTGTAATGGAACAGACAGTACCAAAAAGCGGACTCTGATAATTCTCGGATTGCATATTGCAAAAGATTCTCCTTGGGCTTTGCACGCAGCCTCCGCTAGGAAGGCGAAGGCATCAGGGCCCCCGGCCTAAGCAGCCAGTGGAGAGAGTCTCGGCAGCCTGCGCCGCCCCCCCCCCCCCCCGCCCAGCCATGTCGCCTCCAGTACTCTGCACCTTAGCGTGGCCTTCCGAGGGGTTCCAGGACTGGCCAGGGTTGTTTCCCACCCGCGCGCGCTCTCTCTCCCCAGCCAAGCCCAGCCCTTTTGACTGCTAGCTCCACCGCCTCCGCCCCCTCCCAAGGTGGCCCTGGGGAGCCGGACCTCGCCAGCCCGCCCCGACTGGGACCATGGTGTTTCTCTCCGGAAATGCTTCCGACAGCTCCAACTGCACCCACCCGCCCGCACCAGTGAACATTTCCAAGGCCATTCTCCTCGGAGTGATCTTAGGGGTCCTCATCCTTTTCGGGGTGCTGGGGAACATCTTAGTGATCCTCTCCGTGGCCTGTCACCGTCATCTGCACTCGGTCACGCACTACTACATCGTCAACCTGGCGGTGGCCGACCTACTACTCACCTCCACGGTGCTGCCCTTCTCAGCCATCTTTGAGATCCTGGGCTACTGGGCCTTCGGCAGGGTCTTCTGCAACATCTGGGCGGCGGTGGACGTCCTGTGCTGCACCGCGTCCATCATGAGCCTCTGCATCATCTCCATCGACCGCTACATCGGCGTGAGCTACCCGCTACGCTACCCCACCATCGTCACCCAGAGGCGGGGGCTCCGGGCTCTGCTCTGCCTCTGGGCGCTGTCCCTGGTCATCTCCATCGGGCCGCTGTTTGGCTGGAGGCAGCCGGCCCCCCAGGACGAGACCATCTGCCAGATCAACGAGGATCCCAGCTACGTGCTCTTCTCCGCGCTGGGATCCTTCTACGTGCCGCTGGCCATCATCCTGGTCATGTACTGCCGGGTCTACGTGGTGGCCAAAAGGGAGAGCCGGGGCCTCACATCCGGCCTCAAGACCGACAAGTCGGATTCAGAGCAAGTCACGCTGCGCATCCACCGGAAAAATGTCCCCTCAGGAGGCAGTGGGGTGGCCAGCTCCAAGAACAAGACGCACTTCTCTGTGCGGCTCCTCAAGTTTTCCCGGGAGAAGAAAGCAGCCAAAACGCTGGGCATAGTGGTCGGTTGCTTCGTGCTCTGCTGGCTTCCCTTTTTCTTAGTGATGCCCATTGGTAAGTCTTTGCAGCCCCTGGCCTTAGCATCCAGGGAGCCGTCTGCATTTCAAAGGGCTTGGAACAGTCAGGGACAAGCTTCCTGGTGGGAATGTGATTCTCTTTCTCTTTCTCCTCCAATCTCATTTGCTTGAGGTCCTAGGGCACTTTTTCATCAACCTTAAAGTGGCTTTGGCTGGTGCAGATTAATTGGCTCCTTAATAAGAATGTCAACTCTCCTTAAAGCCTTTAAAGGGTGTGTGTTTAATTTAAATCTATCCGCCCTCTCTGGAGACCCAGTCTCCAACGAGTTCTCAGGCAGATTGTGGAAGGCCGTTTTCCCTCTGCCAGTCCTGGGGAATACAAACCCTTGGCCTGAAAATAAACACCAGGTTTATACTGGGGAATTGTGTGAATTTACTGTCGCATTAGATTGTCCACAAAGATTAGTTTTAATGGTCTGCCTATGTGCTGAATCTGTTAATTTTATATCCTGGATTCATTAGGGAAGGGTGTTGGATAAGCCACTAACAATAACAAACATGATTTTATGCTGGAACCAATGTAAGCCTTAAAGATTTCCTTATAATATTTTGATAACTAAATACTCATTTATTTTAATGCTAAGTATTAAAACAGATGCTATTCGTATCCAAAATCCTCCAGGAAGTTGCAGATGACACTGTTTGGAAATAATGCTGTAATGTTACAAATTCAGTTTTTTTGCAGATGCTTAAGTAAGCTGTCGTCAAAACTAATTAGCTCATTATAAGTATCTGCAAGCTGATCTCCTTGGAATAGTTATCTATCTCTGAAAAGCCTTCAGTGAAATCCCAAAATGGTTGTTTGCTATTTTTAGTCCATGAGCACAAATATACATCCACATGTTGGTTATCAACTAACTCTAACAAAAAGTCATAGTGAAAACTAATAAAAATCCATCCCAGCTGCCTTAGAGCCATATAAATGATGTGTACTTAAAGTGCTTTCATTTGCAATCCTGCCATAAGAGTAGGGGTCATACTTTGATGCTAACTATGTGCCAGACATTTTACCAAACTATGTATTTCGCTCGACTTTCCAGTAACTGCTACCTTAAGACTGTGGAGGAAGGGAGCAAGTCTTCAGATTCTAACACCATAGCCACCAGGTGCATGTAAATGTTTCCTTATGAACTGAAATTCAATAATATCAAAATTCAATTCCTCAGTCCCACCAGCCACTTTTCAGATGCTCATTCGCCCCACGTGGCCAGTGGCTACTGTTTCCAACAGCAAAAATGTACATTACTTCTACTGTGGCCACATTTCTATGGGCCAGGCTGCTGGCAAGGCCCCTTTCAGTCCAGCTCCTGGCCTTGCCTTGTACCTGCCTGTCACTGGGGCTTGCTCTGCTCCTGGAGTGGATGGCAGCTGTGAATTGATGCAGGTAACACTCAGCTCAGGAAGCTGCCTGCTGACCCACCTTCCAGCTTCCTACCTCTCAGTGCCTCTGGAACTTTGCACACTTACCTTGCTTACCTCTTAGTGCACTTTGCACTTTCTTCTTAGTGAACTTTGCACACTTACCCTGCTCACTTGCCAAGTGTTTATTACATACTTGTTTTATACCTTTGGATGCACAGAGCAGAAAAATCCTTTCTTGTGAAATGTTTCCTTTCTTTGAAGGAGACAGATATAAACAGATAAGCATGCTCTTAAAAGTCAAGGATTACCAAGCATTTGCAAAACATCAACAAAAATAAGAGGACGAGAGTGACATGTTAGTGGAACAGGTGGTTGGGAAAGTCCAATCTACAGAGATGACATTTAAGTAGAATCCTGACTGATGCGAGAACCAAGCCTTGCAAGGTCTAAGAGGAAGAGTTCTTTGGCTAATGGCATGGCAAGTACAGAGAAGCAAAAGAGGGGACTACTGTGGCTGAAGGAGACAAATCCAAAAAGAAGTGAAGGATAGATGAGCACAAGTTGCACAGGGCCTTCTAGGCCAACGTAGCCTTTGCATATTATCCTAATTATGATGAGAAGCCATTGGAGGGTTTTGAGCAGGAGATAGAGTCTCGTTTTATATTTTGAAAGGATTGTTCCAGTTGTTGGATAGAGCCTGAGTGTTCTGGGTGGGCAAGAGTGGAAGGAGGGAGACCAGTGAGGAAGTTGCTCAGAGAAGTCAAAAGGTGAGAGTCTGTGACAGCTTGGACACAGATGGGACAGGTGGAGGTGGGAAGAAGTGATGACATCCAGCATTTATTTCAAATGGAGAGCTGGCGAATCTGGGCATAGAGTGAGAAAAAGGAGAGTAGCAAAGGGTAATTTACAGGATTGAGACCTAAAGAACTAGGTAAATGGGAGTGCATTTTACTGAGCATGGAAGACCAGAGAATGACAGAGGTGACATCTGCAAGGTTGCAATGCAAACAAAAACCTCACGAAAAGGCGAAATGGGGTGGAACATAGACAACTCTGTGGCACCTTTGGCTACAGTGAAACCAGAAAAGGGGATGCAGCTGGAGGAATCTAGGGAAAGTTTGCAGAGGTGAGAGATGAGATCATGTTTCTGTTCTAATGGGAAAGACGGAAAAGAAAGGGACACTTACGGCGTAGGCAAGAGAGGAGCTAGGATTCATGTCCAGTGGAGAAAATGACAGGAAATACAAGGGCTACAAACACCAAGGCAGGTGGGTACGAAGGAGAGCATCGAGGTCTCTTCACAGTAATTTTACATCCTCAGCAAAATAAGAAACAAGAGCATCAGCTCAGAGTTAGAAGGGAATGGGGAATGTGGAGGTTTGAAAAGCAAAAAGAACATATGAAATGCTCATCTTTGAATGTGAGAGAGTAAATTTATTGCGGAAATTTTGTAGAGTCACTGGCAAGTCCTGGGGACCCCTTTGGGATTTATAGTCCTGCGCTTACACTGACAGAGTCACAAAGGCTGTGTGACTCTCTCCAACAGCTGAGCCATGGGGATGTGGTTGGGGCAGATGATAAGTTCTAGGGCTCAACATGAAGCATGGGTGTCTCTAAGGAGATACAGCCTGGGCCGGATTATGACTCTGCAGAGCCAGGTGGGTAGAAAGCGCCCAGGGCTGTTAGGTGGCTTGGAAGTCTGGGACTGTGTTGGCGAGTGGGCTCTGCTAGCAGATGAGGCATGATGGGTGACCTGGGTCCGCAGGGAAGCACGGGTGCTCTGATCTTAGTCTCTTTCTTGAGCCTCTCAGGGATTGGTTATTATTGAGGCAAAGGTGTTGTTGAAGAGAGAAGTTATGGTAAGACAGTAATACCCAAAATCAGTAGTGTCTTTTAAATCCAAATTAAGAGATAGGACAGGAAGGAAATATAAACACACAGGGCTGAAGGTGCGTCTCGGTGGCAGAGTGCTTGCCTCGCATGCACCAAGCCGTGAGTTCCATCCCAAAAGAGGAAGGAGGGGATGGGTAGAGAAGGGAAATGAAGGGAAGGGAAGGGTCACAGCTAACAGGGCCTGCACAGCCCATTCCACAGGACAGCAAAGGCTGCTGAAACTCCAACCTGTACACGGTGGTTTGGTCCTAAGACCAATTGAAGGAGAGAATATTTCCATAGGATATATTGATGGTGTAGTGAGTTCCAGGCACAGGTTAAACAGACGAAAAAACAGATGAGCATACCTCCTGCCCTTGAGGGTCTCACCATCTAATTAAGGAGACAAACTGCAAGCAGTTCACACAGGGCAGGGAACATGCTCATCATGGTATTATTTCCAGGTGCTGAGGAACCTAGCAATGATCTGGGTCTGGAGGCCAGTGCAGAAGCTTCTAGAAGCACTGTGGTTGACTATGCAGTTTCTTAAAGATTTCATTCATTACTTCTGCTGGATCATCAGCAAGATGTTATTTGTTTTTTGTGAACAACTTTTAGTTCATTTTCCATGCAAAATGTGAAAAGAAAAATAAATACACCACTATGTTATCTTACCCAAGGGACGCAAGCCTTAAGTGTGACAAGTGTTATCTTGGGAAGAGGAGTTACCAGTCCGGGTGAGGCTGCTGAAGAGGCAGGGGGTTAGAGCACAGGGAGGAGTGTGGGAGGCAAAGCTGAAAGACGCCACGTGCATAGGGACTGGCCCAGGACACTCAGGTGTGTGGACTCAGTTTAGAGGCTGAGAGTTCTAGACCGGGAGAAGACTGGCTCCTTGCAGCTGCCTCACTCTGTCTCTCCCAAGCTTCTCTGCACCACACCCACGCTGCTTGTTCCATGGAACAGTGGGATTGAGGTTGGAGGTAGGCATCTGCCTCGTCTCCTCCCAAGTTTAATATTACTAGTAAAAATGGGATGTTACACAGGCCAGCTGCCTCACATGGTGCCTGACACAGAGCAGGTGGCAGTTCATGCTCCTCTTACAAGGATTCGTGTAAATCACAGGCTGTACTGACACATGTCAACATACACTGCCGTGGTGGGGGGTGTCCCTGGATGCATGAGAAGGAGAGAGCCCTGGGGAGAAAGGAATGAAGTCTGCAACGTTCACTGACCACGTAGCTGTGCGTCTGGAATTCTGAACACATTATCTGATCTAAATACAGAAAGCCAGCATTATTACTGGGCTTAGGCCATAGCTATTATCTCTGAATCAAAGGAAGCAGTGTGGCTCTTCAGGACAGATAATACTTGGTAATTTGTTTCTTTTAAAAAGACAGGAAGCAGCACAGTGAGAGGGAAAGAAAATGTGTTCTGAGGCGGGGCCTTTGGGCAGGTTAGAGATGGCAAGGTGTTTGTTGGGTGGGGTAAGTGAGGGCAGGGAGTGAATCTTGTATTCAGCAGAAGTTGCACACGGCGAGCTGTGGGACATAGCAAGGAAGAGGAAGTGGTGCCTATCATGTGTACAGATTTCATATAGTGACTGTGAGTCCCCGGTAGGTCTCCGAGATGACCAAGGATAAGTGCTGCTGCCAGTGTGATGGCATCAGGCCCCCTGTTCTTTAAAAGGCCAGCCTTTTAGAGTTGACGACGTGGGCACAATCTAATCACCACTAGGATTTAAAA